GGACTTCAACTCCCAGAATTCCCCAGCCAGCAGGGCTGGCTGGGGAATTCTGGGAGTTGAAATCCAGACACCTTCAAGTTGCCAAGGTTGAGGAACACTGAGCTAGATCAGCCAAGATCCAGGAATCAGCTTCTTACATACCAAAGATTCGCCAATCCCTGAGCTTCTTCCATCTCCCCCCACAAAGTTTTGCCTGTCGCACAAAACGTGGGGCACACTTTGCATCCAGGAAAGCTAGACTTTTATGAAAATAAAAAAAAGAATTTTATTAGCTTCTCTTTGGAGAATGAGAGGCTGACTTTTCCTGGCTCTGCTTCATTTTCCTTTTATAACAATCATCATATAAAGTCAAAGGGCCACTTTGATTTACTCTGTTTCCTTTCAAAGGATACTGTGACTTGAGTTAAGCACTTTTACCCCTTTCCTGGGAAGACAAGGAGAAAACTACGATTGCTGCTACTAATAAAAGCAATAGCTGCTTTCGAGGGAGGAAAAGGTTTGGTGCATTTTCTGATAGATAGATCACAGACACACACATTACTTACTTATGAAAATTCTTTCATTTGAATGTATGAGCAACACTATTTTCCTTCCCCACACCAACTACTAGAATAGATTTGCATGCAATGCTGAGAAAGAACACTTCGTTCACGCCTTCAGTAGATATCAGGAGTTCTCCTGGTTGAAGTGTCCTAGTTTGTGGTGTCCATGGTGGACAGCCAGAAGCATTCAAAAATTAAGACACCCCTTTATACATCACTGCCACCCTTAGCCCCCAAATGTAAGAAAAGACAGATGTTTATACAATGTGCATGTGCTGATTTATATGACCAGTATAGGTAGTCCCCGGGATTAAGAACACCTGGTTTAAGGAGGTCCCCTAGTTAAGAATGGAGCCTACTGTAGCAAATTTAAGTTAAATACACAATGATTTGACTTAAATACACAATGGTTTGAGTTAATTCCACAGTGATTCCACAATACTACTTATACATTTTATACAATAATACTGTTCCGGCTTACATACAAATTTGACTTACGGACAGTCCTGGGGACTACTCGTCCATGCATGGGTGGAAATGGTGGCTACAGCTTAAATGGAAATGGAAGATATGGGATCAGGATGGGGAGGCCTCCAAATTGGTTGCTTGAACAGCCTGTTCAGGCTGTTGCTTGAGTGCTTCATGTGGATGAATGCTTCAAGACCCGTTTCCTGTCTTTAGTGCTGAACTTGAATGAGGAGCCCATCAAATAGAGGCATCTTTCCAATTATGTGCAGCACCTCACTGAGCTTGGTTGATCTCCAAAAGATAGGTGAGGTCAGGCTGGGCATCACGAGGAAATCCTAGGATAGTAAGATTGACTAGGAAGCTAAAAAAACAACAACCCTGTATTGTTGCCAAGAAAACTACATGGAAATGTCCCTGAAGTCACCCATCTGAGCTTGACTTAAATGGTTTTTTTGCTTTTACCTTGACTCTAAACACAACAATCTTATAGAAAAGTAGGAGTCATGACCTCCTAGCTGTAAGACCAAGATGGCCTCTATTGGAGATGTTCCATGTTAGACTCTATCAACTTGCTGGGCTCACAAGCTGACCCCAGTGTGCAGCAAATTTAGCCCACCAATCCTCTGTACTGTTCACCGAGCTACTGTAGTGTGCAACTTATAGGCTGAAAATCCTCATCTCCAGTTGCTTGTGGCCACGTACAAATGTCCATCCCTCCCAAGCAGAAGTGCAACAGGGTTAAACTCTCCCTTCATTTCCAGCACTGAGTGAGCATTTGGATTATTCCCCCTCCCCTTGATGCTCCAGAGCTGGATGTCAGGAGAGCAATGAGAACCAGGGTAGAAGTGGTCTTTTCCTTGTGTGTGGTAGGTCTCTTAGTCAGCATAGTTAATAGTCATGGAACGTGAGCCAACAAAGCCACTTACTTTTAGAGATCTGATCATTTGTGACTCAGGATATGTTGAGACTACAACTCCCATATTGTCTTGTGTTGAGGGATAGTTCTAACCCATCTGGGAGAGTCATAGTTGGGGTGAGCCATTTGTTGGACACCCAAAGCACAGCAGTGGTTCTTAAGTCTCCCTTTGCACGAATAGATCAGACTGGAGAACATCTTCTGTTGGATGCTCCGGTGGCTTCCATTGAGCTCCTACCAAATTTCTAAAATGAAAGATACTGGATACAAGTTTTCCTTGAGAGTCAGAAACCTTCCCTCCTCATTCCAGGGGCTACAGCAGGCTTCCATGCCTTGAACGTCTTTAAATTCTCTGTTCTATGAATCTAGTTGTTTGTTTAGGTGCTTGATTTCTGGATTTGAGCCTGATGTCTCCGTGGTTTCACCTTCTCAGATTCTCCATGGGAAAGCTTAAGTCAAGAAGACAGCCTCCAAGAGTCTTGGACTTAGGCTCTCCAGTGGGCTGGGAATTATAAAAGCTGAAGTCCAACATTCTTAATGGGCATTTTGCTAGGGAAATGCTGAAAATTCTGGTGTCCATATCCCTTGCTGTATCCTTATACAATGGGCTGTTTGCCACCTTATTTCACCTCTTTTGTGGGGGTATTACTTCTGTTCAAGGGGTAGAGCTGTAGACATTCAAAGGGTAAGCTCTGGACTTCTACAATAGAAACCTGCTCTCTGTTGCACACCCCGTTGGCCACCTGGTCCTTTTAGTGTTGCCACACAAAAGCATCACCGAGAGGGGTTAATGCTGATTGAGTGACTTGGATGCCTTGAGCAGGCTCATCAATTCTCTGTGGTTCTGTCCAGATGCAGGCACTTTATCAACTGCATTGGACCACACTGGTGGGGAATGGAAGCCAACATTCGAGAATTCCAAGTTATGACACAATCCATTGACAAAAAGATGTATGAATCAGCTCTAAACTGACACAACAATCATTAGCAGGCACCGCAGACTCAGTTTAGTCAAAGTGAAACATGTTTAGATTCCACTGCTGTCAGCAGGAAAGTTAACATGGTTTAAAGCTTAGGCATAGTTTGACTGCACTGTTCCCTGAAAGTAAAATAAAAAAGAGATTTAATGTAGACCCTGTAGGTTTTCTTTTTATCATTATCTGACTACATCAGCAAAGCTGGGGATACTTTGGGGGAGTGCTTTTCAACATTTTGAGATTTTATTGGGAAAAAAACAACACATTTCTAGTCCATAAAGTCACAAAGATAAGCTTTAATATTGGTTGGGCAGTGCCTTGGGAAATCACAAGAGATAGATATTGGATAGATAACTTCACAGGTTTCCAGTTCTTGGGCAAAGAGACTTCAGTGACATACATAACTCTATTCTGTTTCCTCTCTTGCCAGTGTAAGAAATAGTGTGTTTAAACCCAGCATCGTAATTAATCTGGTCCTGATGTTTGGACTCTCTGTCCGGTCAGAAGATTATAACTAAATTGTTGAACACTGACACTGTTTTACAAATACTGTACAAAGTACCACGTTTATTCCTGGATGTGCTAGTTAAAAAACACAACTATGGAAATCTGATTAACGGTTCCTGGGAAGAAACTTTAGGAATGGTTCTGTGTGATCAGGAAAAAAAAAAATGTCTGAGAGAGTGGAACGTTAGTGTTTTCTATGGGATAAAGTTGTTGCATGTGGCTTGACTAAGTGCGTTAGCTGCTGATGACGTTTATTAGTCATGGTGTGCTGCAATGAGAACTTAACAGAATAACATTGGTTGATCTTTCGGGGTGGACTATGGTTGAACATTTGTTTACAGGCTGTCTGCATAACATATGACTCCAGCCTGAGACGAACACGCAGAGGAATGTCAAGGAGAACAGCTCTGAATGTCTAGCATCTTTAATTAACTCCGTCTTAGGCAATCGGTGGTCCCGGGGTGGTTGGTGGGATAAAGGCAGGTTGCCCATAAAGGGAGCAAATCAGATTGAAGGGGTGTAGGTGGGTGGATGGATAGTTTTTCTACCCACCCAGATCATCCAACTACCCTTGTGTGGTCAAAACATCCAAGGGTACCTCCCTTGGCATCCATCAGGCTCCCTGGTCCATCCGGTTTCCATTTTTTAATTTATAAAAATACATTACAGTGGAAACTGGGCAAGCTTTAAATTGAAGTGCCAATCTCAATACTCTTTAGAAAAGAATGTTCTAGTCCCCCGCAGGCCTTTTTAAGAAATAATAAAAGTGGGGGCTATAATCTGGTTGTTTGGATGTTTGCCCATCTACCCAGAGAAGGAAAGCAAAGCTAAGCTGGAATTTTAGGGAGGACCCTGAAGGACTAAGAAGGTTGTATGGAGCAGGCCTGCTGGTTTGCCTTCTGTTCAGTGGGTGTTTTTGCTCTCCCCACAGCCATCTTGACTGCCATTTTATGAATAGGAAACCCCACCCCTGAGGGCAGCCATTTTGTGAGAGAGTGCCATGCTCTCAAAATTCCATAAGAAGGTGGGGGATCCAAGAGAGAGAGAGATGCTTTACTGAGCAAAGCCCCACTTCTCTCTTGATGGAGAGAAGTGGGGCACTCCTGTATGCTTCAGAAAGGTACCATACTTTGATCCGAGCCTCAAGAAAACATGTTCATGTTATGCTGTTTTGCAACTGGACAAGGGCAATAAACTAATCTGAACAGGAGCACTTTACACAAGGTATTTTGTTGCTGACCCACTAGTTAAGAACATAAACAAAATGGTAGAGCGGTATCAGTCATTTGTGGAGTACTTTCCTTTTATTGGAGTCAGATATGTATAATGTTTTCATTTAATCTTGCAAGGACATTAATATGCTTCTTTGGGAATTTTAGCGAACGTGCTTCTATGACTATGGACATTATTTGATGAGGCTGATGTATCTGGTGGGAAAAAAGGTGGATGGAGAGAGCTGGGCTAAGGACTTCAAAGTTTAAGTGTCAAAAATGAAAGGTGGATGGACATAGGATAATTGAGAATAAGCACTGAGTAGGATGGAAATTTGGCCGTTGCCCCTGAGATGTGAAGACTTTTATCTCTTGGATCTTGAATGGTAGGAAAACCCATTGCACAGGTTCAAAAGTCCTGGACACTGTAAACAGTTTGTAGGGATAAACCAGTCTCAAATTAAACTCTAACATGGCTCAAGTTTAATTCCTGATTTAAAGCTTAGTGGCTGAACTAGGTGGATCTATTCTGGCTTGATGGTACTCCCATTTGGAGATACAAATGGTTAATGGTCTCACTGGTTCTAGAGAGCCCCATTAATAATGTATCCAGGATTGTTACTCATCTGTAGTTTTTTTTCTTGACTGTTCATAGCTAGGAACTCTATTTTTTATCAGTTGAAAAATTATGGATAAAGAACATAAGAACATAAACGGTGCCCTGCTGGATCAGAGCCCTGGCCCATCCAGTCCTGTAGTCTGTTCTCCCAGTGGCCAACCAACTGGACAAGGAAGCCTTCTAGTCTCCCAGCAGATGGCCTTCAGAGGCAGTCCCACTGCCATCAGGACTAATAGCCATTGATCCCCACCACTTCCATGATTTGGTCCAACCCTTTGTTGACACCAGCCAAGCTAGTAGCCAGCACCCCATCTTGTGGTAACAAATTCCAAAGTTTATGCTTTGTATAAAAAATATTTCTTTTTGTCTGTCCTGATTCTTCAAAGATTCAATTTAATTGGCTTCTGGTTAGTTGCCATGAGAAACACAAACACAATGAATAAATACTACTTTTGTGTGGCTTATCAGTAACAGATGATAACTTTTGCAACTTTGAACTAATCAGTGAGATTTTTGTTGATTATAATCTAGTGTGTTTCAACATCAGCATCATGCCACTTTGATCTGATGTTGTCACAGGCATAATTGCTGGAGAAAGATACAATCCTCCATAGAGAACACTCACTCTTATCAACAGATCTGGGCTAATGTAAGGCCCATTCATTCAACGGGTGACTACATGATTACATTTGGATCTAGCCCCTGAAGAACTGCATGAATCGATGCACGATTTGTTGTAATGGGCTGGCTTTACTTTGTTTCTCTGGATGCACACCAATGTTTTAGGGTCTTCAAAACCCCCCGTTTTAATATATTTGTGACGTGACTTTGCTTTCTCCCTTCTCCCCCAGTCAGCTGCAAGAAGGGCTGGGACATCATGTGCAAACTGCCAGACCACAACCACCACCCTGTGGAGGAGGAATGCCAATGGTGATCCAGTGTGTAATGCCTGTGGGCTGTATTATAAGCTCCACAATGTAAGTGAGATGGTCACACTCTCAACTGATCCTTAGAGATAACATGGTTGCACTCAATGGTAAAGCTAGACTGACTGCTCTTGATCTGCTCAATCATCTTGCAGACTCTTTGGGTCAAATGCAGGACATTTCAGTACACGTTGATACTTTCTGATGACCTGTGAAGCATCTGAATCAAGCTGGGCTAATAAGGTTTAACTCAATAATGGGGCATTAACAAGTCCCTTTTGAGAAAAGAAGATGCTACCAAACCATATTATTGTTAATACTATTACTATTAATTTATAACAAAGAAATGTCAGCACCCTATAGCTACCTGGAGTTGACCCAAACCTTGTCATTGGGTTAGATGAAGATCTAGGGACTGTGTTAGCACAACACGGTTATCTTGCTTGTTTTTCTTTTGTTGGGTTGGTGTGTTGTGATGAGTTGGCTGGTTTATGATTTAGTATATTGGGTCAGCTCAGTTATCCAACTAAGCAGCTGCAGCAAACGCAGTCTTGGAGTACACAAAGGACAATCAATCAATCAATCATGGAGCTCACAATTTAAATTCTACAGGGTGTATTTATATTAGAATCTTTCCAGTGCTCTATATCTGTAATGGGAAGAGAGAAGGAGCAGGGGGTCCAGAGAGGGTGTTTGGCTGAAAGTATCTCAAATCTGGAGCCAGTCTTGGTTTGATGATAGATCCTTAGAAAAGGGATATTCAACCTGTAGCCTACCAATGGCTCTTAGCTCCTATTCGGCTACCTGTAAAACTTTAATCACCCAAAGACAAAACTTTGTTGACCTTTTTCCAACGAATACCTCACTGTGCTATTGGATTTGTTCTTCTGCAGCTGATAGAGATATAGGTGAAGATGTAGATAGGAGAAGCATGGTCCCTGACCACAGAAAAGGTTGCCAGACCTTGCCCTAGAACTTTGGGGTGTGTGTGTGTGTTTGAGACAGAGAGAGAGAGAGAGATTTTGGAAAAGCAGGAGGCATGACCAGCCCACAAAAAAGTTAATTGATTTTTGTTTAGATTAACAGACCCCTGACCATGAAGAAGGAAGGCATCCAGACCCGAAACCGAAAAATGTCTAGCAAGTCGAAAAAGAGCAAAAAGGTCCATGACAGCCTGGATGATTTTCCCAAGAGCAGCTCCTTCAATCCTGCCACCCTTTCCAGACACATGTCTTCTATCAGCCACATTTCGCCGTTCAGCCATTCAGGGCACATGCTTACCACACCCACTCCCATGCACCCATCCTCCAGCTTGTCTTTCGGACCTCACCACCCCTCCAGTATGGTCACCGCCATGGGCTAAGGAGCGAATCTTGGAGAAGAGAGACTTTCCTGCTTAAAAGAAAAAGAAAAAAAAAAAGAAGAAAAGAAAAAAGAAAAGAAAAGAAAGAAGTCCCCTTTTTAAGTTCTCGGAACGAGAGATACCTTTATATACTTGCCTCATTTTAAGCAAGCATTCTTGCCCTTCAAAACTCTTGGATGCAGATGGAAAAACAAGACAGGAAAATAAAAGAAAATGGAAATTGTAAAGCTGGCTGAAGTCCTCAGAACAAAAGAAACAAAGCAAAATTTAATGTGGAAAGTTGACTGTTGGCTGCTTTTTCAAGCGTCTTTGTGTTTCTCAACCACCGAATCGGGATCCCATTTGTGAATAAATCATTGCAACGCAACTTCACTGTTGAACTGGGTTTTTAGTGCTGTGAAATGATGATGATGATGATGATGATGATGATGATGATAATAATAATAATAATAAAACCAGACCCACCCCCCCTTCCCCCTTGCCCCCCGCCCAAAGTAAAGCAAATAGTTGCTGAACACTGTATAACTTATATTGTAAGAAATATTGTACATTTTCGAGGAAGACTCTGAAAACTGAGTAGCTGTAAAAAAAGGAAGGGGAAAAAAAAGGAAAAAAAAAAAAGATTTGGAGATGTTGATAGTGCAAGCCAAGTACCATGAGAAACATTTTATGGTACGGTCTGAGAAGAATGAGGTCAAACCGGCAAATGGACAAATTGCCAGTTATGCTTTTTTGCTGTTTCTCTCTCTCTCTCTTTCTCTCTTTCTTCACATACTGGCTGGAATTATTTTGATGCGTTAAAAATAAATGACATCCAAGTTGTAAGCAAATCATCCATTCCAGGCGACGGGCCTCTGAACAATGGAGAAGTGGTTGAATGGTTTCAGGGCAATTGGTGTGACACACAGCTTGTTTGCCGCAGCCAGTTTGTCTAAGGCCTATCCGCATTGTGAACCAGTTCCTGTAATTGTTGTTTGTATGTATAACTCAAAAGCTCTCAAATAAGACAAGATGTAGATTTATTTCATCCTATGATGCAGATTGAATGGTTGTACAAATTTTACTTGCTGCTAGTGTTAAGAATGGCGCTTTGGTTTTTGTTTTCATATTTTTCCTCCTCTTTTTTTTTTTTTGGAGAATAAACTAGATTAAATTCTGTTGATTGGATGTCAGCTTGTGGTTTGGAGTGATGGGAAGTCTTTTCTGGGTTTCGATTTCCATGACAGTTCCACACAGCATTTGCTACTTGGCAAAAGGGTCTCAAGACTGAAGTTGAGCAACTGGGGCCACTTAAATAATTGGATGTGTGCTAATTTTCTTTGACCATAAGAAGCATTTAAACCATGTGTTCCAACTTTGCCCAGCTAGGATAAATTCTCTATTTTCGGGTCCTTGCACCTTATAAATAACATTTACTGTCTTTTTTTGGGGGGGAGGATTTGCTTAAAATACGCTCATATGCAAATTACAATTCCTAGCATTCCTCTACATATTTCCTAGGATGCCAGGAGTTGTAGTAAAGCACCATGTGGAATTCCACCAGGTACCAAACTCTGGCTTAAATAGAGTATAAATTCTGCAAGGGAGGGAAAAACACAGGTGAAACCCTGTGCAGGTAAACCTGATCACCTGACCTGATTGAAGGGCAGGTTCCAAGTTCTTAGCATTCATTCATCTCTATCTCTGGAATGTCTAAGGAGTTAAGGGTCTGAACAGGAAGTGGATACATCTTGTATCCAATGCACATGTACATCTGTATGCATGTGGACACCAACAGACTTTTTAGACCAAAGGTCTGCTGCTCTTGTTTACCTCGTTCCCTCCAAACCAACCCTCAGCTATTTGGTAGCCCCATCTTGAATCATAGCTAGCTAATGGGCTCTTAATGAAGCAATTTCACTGGCTTTTAAGTTCTCCAAGAGACCAATGCTACATACATTTTCTAGGACCTTTTTTCCCTGTTGGATGCAAATGGCAGGTTTTTGATTTTTGGCATCAAGATGAGCATGAATCCCAGAATTGCTACATTCTATGCTCTCTTTTAATGACTGTTTTATGCACTTGATAAGGCATTTGTTAGTTGACTTGGCTTCTTGAAGAACTTTAAGAGAAGACAGCATGCTATAGAATTAATATTAAGTCTGTCAGGATCAAGGAAAGTTGAGACTACCGTATCAGTCTCCTGTAGTGTTGGGATAGGTCAATTATTTGCCAAATTAGAATCGTGGAGTTGGAAAAGGCTATTTGGGTCATCAAGTTCACCCCTTACTCATCCGTTATCATGCTGGACAGAACCAGAAGATATTCCTGGTGAAGATGATGCAGAGTTGGATCACATGCCTTTTTTTCAAAGAGTGTTGACTAATGAAGAAACTCTCAACTTGTGGGTGATCAATCAATCCTAACATGTTTGTATAGGTGGAAGGAGGGAGAGGCAGGACCATAGAATGCAATTTCTTTCTTGACAATGCTTTTGAATTGGGAAAAGGAAACTTGCTGGATATAATCAAAATTAGATCAATGGCTCATGGTCTTGATAGCTGTAAAATAAACATTCATTCAATTTGTACTGATTGAAGTAGCATAAAAGCACATGAAGAATTAAAAATGCTGTTTGCTCCTGTCAGAAACCTACTTTGAAGGCCTGGAATAACAGTCTCTGGAAAGCAACTGTTAAAGAAGGCAGCTATTCTCCTGGTTGTGTTTTCTGAATGCATCTGGTTAGTCACATGAAGAGAGAGTGCTGGATTAGGTGGGCCTGTCAGCTGAACCAATAAGACACTTATCTTCTTATCAGGTCTATTTAGAACAGCATTCTTCAACCTGGTGTTCTCCTACTGAGTTGCACTATGACTTCTATTACCTATCACTCATTGTGGCTATAGCTGCAGAATGATGGGGATGGTGGAGCATAATCTGGAAGTATTTTCTATCAGTTTGTGTGCCCAATGCACTATACCTTGTCCTAGAATCTATGCTGTGGGCCAGTTAAATCCAAATTTGCTGCCCTCAGAGAGGATGATGGCCACCTGTAGAGATGGTTTCCAAATAAATTCATGGAAAATTGGACTACTAATGATGACTAGTCTCTTAATGATGACTAGCTTTTGACTACTTCTGGAATCACAGGTGGTATAATGCTATATATCAATGTTGTCCTCTCACCAATGGTACCAGTTGAGTTTTGAAGGTCTGAATGAATTTTTGATACAGTTCAGGTTTAAAGAGTGATTCAGGTGCTTCTAAGAAGCTCTCTGTATCAACAGGATTAGCCTGACCCTCTTTTTCATTGACCTACTAGTTTTCTCCATGCAGGGTACATTTTTCTTGGGTGGACTGTGCCATCCCTATCCCTTGCAAACTACAGCCTAAAGTGCCATTCTCCAGGACCTGCTTTGTTGTTTGGGTCCACTGGATAATTAAACTGATCCTGAACTGGTGGTCATTCTCATATTCTATGATGAGTGATCCCAACCTCATTCTGTCCTTTATGCAGCAGACAAATGCTTCTTCCTCCTCTTTCAGATACACATTTGTTAATTACGACTAAGGAGATTTCAGTGGCCTGCTCTGAGTGTTGCTGACTCTGTTTTCTGTACAGTTGTGTTAATATGATACACTTAGCATGGTTAACTGAACCATGATTGATTCAACCCAAAGTTTGGGTGTTGTGGAACACACTGAACCATAAACAATGTACTAGGCTAAACTGTTGGCTTGTTTATGAGTATGAAATGCAGCTTCCATGTGATGTACACACACACATATATAATGCTGTACATTATTCTAGAACCCAGTATTCAAACTTAGACTTTTTTAACATCCACTCCCCCCTACTCCAGTTCTTCCCCATCTGGAGCTGTGACTCCATATTAGCCTGTCGTATGTTAACTTTGCATTCCTATTAAACGTTAAACATCAGCTGTCCAAATTCCTGCTGGACATGAAACTTATTTAAAGCTTCCTATTTTCATCACTTTTCTGTCTGGTTGACAGAAGTCTATAACTTCTTCCCTTGTGGGTTTTGTGGGTCTTGTTAAATGATGCAAAAAGATGTCATCTTGGCATACTTCCCATTTCTTCTTTCCCCTTTGGTTCTGATGTTCCAACCTTACGGCTTAAAAATAAAATAAAATTAAAGGCCAGATTCACCAAGTAAGAGCGTAACCATATGACCTCTAGGACAGCATGGTCATGGCTATAGGACAGTTTGGATGGGCTGTATTTTCCAAGAAGTTCTCCCAGCCTCAGAAGGGAAAGCCAAGATGAGCATCTTTTCCCTGGACAACCTCCACATCTGATGTCCCCACAAATTAAGAAATTCTGACCTTGAAAAGTCCCCGAAGGAGGTTTTCTGGGCAGAGAGTTAAATGGAATGGGCTGGAGATCCAAAAGGGAAGGTGTCCTGGCTGTGCTCCCAACCCGTTTGTTTTGTCTGAATCATTTCCTTTCCCATGAACACCAGGGATGTTACAAACATCAGAACTTACAAAGGTTGGAGTGCTAAAGTAATGGCTCAGTTGCTCGTCAAAATTAATTAGCTGATTAATCAAAAGAAGATTGTCTTTATCAGGGTAGGCTGAAGGTTAAAATAACACTTGTTCAAAATTATTTTGTTTCCAATGAAGTATGAGATTCGGGAATGAAAAAGGAAAGGTGCAAGTTGTTTCTTGAGAGTGCCAATGATTTCATTAGAATGTGGTCAATATCTCAGAGAGGCTACTTTGGGGTTAGGTGCTATGGAATGGGAATATCCCAGAAGACTGCAGATCAATTTAGCAGTTAAATCTCTAGTATTGATCACTTTTGCCTGGGTTTGACCTAGCTGATATCTCTAATCAAGTTCAGGTGATATAGAGATGTGTGAGAGTAGAAACAGGAATGTTATTGCAAAGGTGCAGAAGGAACTAGGCTACACAGTTGAGGCAACGGAACCCCTTCCTGATTTCATGGGGAGACAAACCACCTTGTGCTACAGACACTTGCCCGGGAACTTTTTCAGACTTGTGGAAGGCTGCGTGTCCACAAGTTTCCCCTTTGCTTGCTGATGTATTCACGCAATACGCTTAACTCTGAATTTGGATTAGCACAACACAATTGCTTTGTTTGCACAACACCATATGCCAAATAAATCATATTAGGACCTAATGTGATGGCCAAGTTCACACAACATGCTAAGGTGATGTCTTGGTTTCCAAAAGCTGCTGAACTACAAGCTACCAAATTCTAGTTTAGTTAGTCTAGCGTGTTGTGTAAACCAGACCTAATGAGGATGGTGGGGCTGAGAGTGACTGGCCCAAATTTTTAATACCACACAAACCTTCAGTTATGCAGATGGGTTGCAACACATCTTAACTATCATTTTAACTTTTCAGCTAAATCAACTCAGCCATTTGGTGGTTGCTTCATACAACATGCTAACCTCA